CCCCTCCCTTCACAATACGGGGTGTACACGGAGTGTTAAAAACCGATTATAATCCTAAAATTTAACTAATCAATCAATCTCCGTCGACTATACGTCCCAAAGATATTTTCGTGAACACAACTCACGAATCCCTGTTTTTGTCTCCATTTTGAGTGAAAGAAACAGCTAAGATTTGGATATAGCGAAGGAAAGAAAATTCAATGGAGTCGCAGAGCAATTATCAGATGAAGGCGGTCAATGGAGATTTCGGATACGTACTGGAAGATGTTCCTCATTTGACTGATTACATAGCCGATCTTCCTGTAAGTATCTATTGATTTTTGGTGTTAGTGATTTTGATTTCTGAATCAATTATTTTAAAGAAATGGAGTTAATTTTGTGGAATTTTCATTGAATAATGGAAAAATGCAAGTGCAAGCGTCCGTCCGTAAGCGCGATGTTTGTATTAGTGATTTTCATTCCTTGAATCAAATGTTTGATCAATGAATGATGAAGTTGATTTTGTGGAATTTTTGTTGAATAATGGACAAATTGGAAATTCAACTATCCAGAAGCTGATATTTGGTCGTGATCAGCTTCTGATCTCTTCCTTCGTGGGGGAAGCTAACTTTGCAGCTGTGGGTGTAAAATCGCCTGTTTTTAAAAACAAATCTCGATGAGTTGCTTCTTTTAAGAAAACAAAGACAATTTTTTCTCTCTCGTGGCTGGTGATTAGCTTGTTTAGGTCGGCTAACTATTTATTTAAGGAGAATGCTGTCCCCTTGGGACTATTCTGATAATTGGTGGACACGATCTAACTTCCTAGACTTGCAGATATGGAATGGTACGAGAAAGGCAAAAAAATATGATTAGGAAATATAGTGATATTGCACCTACTGGGTAGCATAACTGTATGTTACAAGTCAAGGAATCAACCAACTGTACTTTACGTGTCAAAGTCGTCTGAGATATTTGCTGTTTTGTTTAGGAAGCTGATTTGGTAAGATAAACTTATAATTACTACTTATGGAAAGCAATAGGAAAGATAAATGCTATTATCTAAATCGAGATGAGCAATATCAGTCACATATACATAATTTCAGGATTGGACGCGTTAGGACAGATTTTTAAGATGCAGGGGAATTCGTGAAGCAATTAATTATTGCTTCATTTTCAATTTTCCCTTGCTTTAAGGGTATTGTGTATTCTCTATCTTCTAATGCATGCATAACACAAGAAATTACTACATAAACTGCGTCATACACTACTAGCGTATCACAGGATTCATCATGACAGGAACTTTTACTATTTGATTTGAAAATCTTGGCTGGTGAATCCATTTATGATAGTCTGTGATTGGAATAATGAAAACTCTTGTACTTTTGCAAATCTGACGTACTTTGTTTCAGACATTTTGACATTTTCCACACGTCAAAATTGATTAGGTGCAACTTGGATGAGCATGGGATAAAAAATTAATTTTCCACATGTCAAACTTGATTTGGGCAAACTGTTTAGCCGCATATCTGAGCAAGTTCCATACAAGTGAAACCAAGTTGAGAAATGCTAGGAAAACAAAATAATAAAATTAAGGAAATCACTTATGTTAATTTTTTTTCCTTGAGACTTCTTGGTAAAGGGATGATTCTAGACCGAACACCGGGCATGAAAAAAGTGTATTTTCATGCTTAATATACATATATTTTCCATTGAATATATGAGCTGCCAGTTCTTATATTTGTTTGAGCTTAGCTATGCATTTTGATGCTTGTTTTTTCGCAGACTTATCCCAATCCATTACGATCCAATTCTGCATATTCCGTTGTTAAGTGAGTTACTTTTTCTCATACATCAAACTGATAATATGGAGCACTTGTTCAGTTAGCTCTGTTGTTATTCTCAGAACCTTGATGATTACAAACTACTTATTATGCACACTACAATAATTTCAGGCAGTATTTTGTTCACGTGGATGATTCTGTCCCTCAAAAGGTGAGCTATATTTTTCAACTTTTCTTTATCCAGAGTTACTCGTGAAAAGGTCTCATTTATCTATTTTTTCCCTTGTTTGGGGAGAAAGGGCTTCACAGGACTGTACTTGCCTCACCTCACTCTTCTTTCTTGATTATGTATGTTTATGTGGATGTAATCATGAATATGTGTAGATAAAAATCAGTGTATGAGCTATCCGTGGTCTAATGGGCTAATGTAATGATAAGACTACCGTAGAAGAAAGCAAAGATGACCATAATACATTGATTTTGAAAAGAAAAAATGTTGAATATTTTACTGGCACGCACATTTTTAGAATGGATGCTGCGCGCAATGTTGCACGTTTCTTAGATATTGCATATGAGTCTAATTGATATTGCTTATCTATTAGAGTGTGAGGCTGTTAACTACTGTATGCAACTGTGCTCAATGTTTAATTTGATGAGGCTAGCCTATGAGTTAGTGTCTAGAGTACTCTACATTCTTTTAAGGATTTACGGATTCATATCCCATTCCACCATATATTTCCATTTGGATTTAGAAAAATCAGAACTAGTAATTCTATGCACCTTGTAAGGATTTCAACCATTTTTAAAGGTGATTAATTCGGTTTGTTGGTCTCTTTGCAGATTGTTGTTCACAGGGACACTCCAAGAGGGGTACATTTTCGACGTGCAGGACCACGTCAAAAGGTTTTTCCTTTTTTCTTCATAAGTGCAGGATATTCACCAGTATGCAGTTTCACCGAACTGTTTCTGTAATGCACAGGTTTATTTTTCTTCAGATGAAGTGCAAGCTTGTATTGTAACATGTGGCGGTTTGTGTCCTGGGATAAATACAGTGATCAGGGAGATTGTACACAGCCTTGATTATATGTATGGTGTTAAGGACGTCCTTGGAATTGATGTAAGTTGGAGTTGCATTCACCTTGAAATTGATTAGTATTATCATTTGAATTTATGTTAGTGCTTGTTACCAAAGGCTAAGATTAAAACATTTGGTCTATTGTTATTTATGTATTTCATCCGGCTTCCTAGAAGAATACATGAGCAAATATCTAATCCATGGTATAATATTAACTCGTCATTCTGATTGTTTTAAAGTTCTTACTTCACTTCTACCGCAGCCGTATCTTTCTGTGTATGATGAATATTCACATTATGCTTAAAGTTTTGTTCTCTAAGCACGGTCTCAGAACACTTGATACCTGTTACCATCTTCGGTGCAATTGCAGTGATAAAGACAGTTTCTATTATCATTTACATTCAGTGAGTAATAGGATTGACTTGTAGATTGCAATGCCCTCTGTCTGCACTCTCCTTAATACTTTTAAGCCCCCGTTTGGTGAAAATTCAATTTCAAATTCAAATTCAAATTTTAATCTAAATTAAAGTCAGTCATTAATTTTATTCACACATTCTATGGGGGTCCACAACTTTTCAACCACACATTTTATCAACTTTTATCAAAATTTACTAAAAATCTGATTTTAATCCCTAACTAACGGGGGCTGAATAGAGTTAAGGTAACTTGAGCCATTAGCATATTCCTAAAATTCTTATTGTTAATGCACACACAAGCAGAAACAATAAGTAGGTTATTTTATAGCATTTTCCTGGTGACTCGCATTATGTTTTAAATAACCATGTTTGGATTTTAGATTTTGCTCATAAATCACAATATCTCCAGAGATGGCTAAATGGATCGAATAAGCTGGTTTTGGTGTCCATAGGTAATGTTGTATGATTTTCGTAAGTGTGTTGTGCTAAATGTTGGCGTCTTAGCAAAGTGAGTTTCGTTATATAGTGCAAAAAAATTACGAAAATTATTCTTAAACTAAGCCTCTGTTTGAGTCACATAAAAATTTTCATTCTCATTCTTCTACTCATTTCAACCACATATTTTTCAATAAAATGATATTTTCCATCACATAAATATTTTTTCCTTCTTTTTCAACTACACATTCTTCATCAATATACTATTTCAAAATACATTCTTCCAAAATAACGTGACTCAAACACACCCTAAATGAACTTTAAATGTTTGTTATTAACTTAAAAGGATGTTATATGCTTATGATTGTTCCTTTTTGTTTTACATTGAAATAATTACTTTTTAAATCAGGTTCTAAGTTCTACAGCTGTTACTTAAATGAAATATTGACATAAGTTGTAAGTTACATAGTTCATAGACTCTGGTTCTGGTATTAATCTCCGAAACATATGGTACTGGATATTCAAGCAATGTAACACATTGGTAACAAGCTCCATAGCTTTAAAGGATTTTCTGAGTTTGTCATAAAAATTTTGATCTGTGCAAGGGGAACATCATTTTACTGGGAAAGAAGGTGAGGGTAGCTGATGAAACAATATAGCAAATGGTAAATATATCTCTATATAACTTTTATAAAGTGGGTTATGGTTGAATTAATTTGCACATTCCTAGGGAATGTACTGCTTAATACAGGTAGTGAAGGAACCCCTGTTGGTCTGCTGTTGGCTTATTCATCAGCTGATGATGTTTTGTACTCTAACATATCTTTGTAAAATCCTATTTCATTACTATGTTTATCAGCTAATGGCGGTATCTCTTTTCTATAGGGAGGTTTCAGGGGTTTCTATTCTAAGAATACTGTTACTTTAACGCCAAAAACTACAAATGACATACATAAACGTGGTGGGACAATCCTGGGAACATCTCGAGGTGGCCATGATACCATGAAGATAGTTGACAGTATTCAGGACCGTGGAATTAATCAGGTAAGGGTGAAGTTATTCTTATAGGATTGTTTACATTGTCTCTGCCAATGTTTTGAATGTAACTTTCTCTTTAATATTTTGAACTACTGTTATGGCATTCAATATGCTACAGTTCATCTCTGATTATCAGTGTTACTATTCAGGTTTATATAATTGGAGGCGATGGAACTCAGAAAGGAGCAGCTGTAATTTATGAGGTATCCTTATTTATTGATGATTGCACCCATCTTTATTTAACTAGAAAGTGCCTTCAAACCCTAGAAACTATTTCCATCGTGCTTTTCACTGAAGGGCACTGTCATAGTAGCTTCTTGTAACTATTATGTACTTCTTATGCCAGTCGCCTCAAAAGTATATTTTGTCCATCATTTTCTGTACTTGATCCTTAACCACCTTTCCAAGTCCATTTCTTACAAACCTAATTTATGCAGTTATTCTTTAGCTCTTTTACTTTTATTGCAACTTCTAGCTGCTTTTGCATTTTTAAGCTTTCAATTTTCTACTACTTCACTCCTTCAACTTCTTCTATTCTGTAGTATAAAATGGCAGATCAGATATAAATGGATTCATGTCGTTTCTCAAATAAATAAATAATAAAAATAAAAATCAAGTTTGATACTCAGTTCATTATACCTACTTTTAAATTCTGAGGTGGCAATTCCAGTGAATACCCTTCGTATTAATTTTCTGTTCCCTTTTTCAACTTTTTCAGGAAATTAGAAGGCGTAATTTGAAAGTTGCTGTTGCTGGCATTCCCAAAACAATTGATAATGACATTCCGGTATCTGTTGTCCTTTATATATTATTGGAGGGACTTGTTCTTTGCACAGATTCTTCATCTATTGTGATTTTTTTAGTTGCATAACAAGTAATTAATATGACGACGAAGAAGAAAACCCCAATTACCATTTTAAATAAGTTCCTAACTTTTAATTGTCAATTTGAATAATTTTCTTTTCGCCTAATGGTCAAAAGCATCTATATTTCAGAGATGAAATACCAAGTTATTCTAACAAAAAGTCAACATTTATATGAAATAAATTACCCAGGTCCTATATTGACGTTAATGCTAAAATTGTCTTGTGATATTATTTTCATTTGATCACTGTATAAAGATCTCATAACATTTCAATTTCATATTGCTGCTTTCTGCAAATGAACATTTTTCTCTTCGTTTGTGACAAGCCTTAATTTTGCACCGACTTGTGTCACCAGTCACCTGGTTATTGCAAATCATTTGGTTTTGTGCTGCGTAGTGCTGTTTTCTGCAAATTTATGGACATAGATTTGCATTGACTCGTGTTATCAGGTTATTGACAAGTCATTTGGTTTCGATACTGCTGTAGAGGAGGCTCAACGTGCCATCAATGCTGCACATGTTGAAGCTCAAAGTGCAGAGAATGGCATTGGTGTTGTGAAATTGATGGGTCGCTACAGTGGTAAGATAAACCTATACTATAGTTCAGTTTTGGTAGTAAATAGTAATATGGTAGGTGACATTATATTTATTCTTTGCCTTTTAAGTTTATGAGGAGTGGCATTTGTGAATCCATCTTTGTTGTAAAGCATATAGAAACTCCATTCATGTCCACCTATTTTGAGAAAATGGGTTTTGCTGTGTAAAGAGCAGAAGAATTGGGAAGGATTTAGATATGAGAAACAATGTTGTGAAATCACTACTGGAAACTGTTAAAAGTGCCTAGTAGTAAACATATTATTTTCTTAGCGACTAAGCGATGGTAAAATCAAAGAAATTGCAGAGATCCGATAGAACATCCCCTTCTGGGAGCTTCGTGAATGGTGCTTCTTATGCAGCATCTTTACTACTGGCATTCTAAACCCTTCCCTGGACCTCTTCAGACGTATAGACAAAGTATTTTGTTACAATATATCTTTACTCGGCTATCTTTTGCCAGCATTATTAAGTCCCACTTCCATCATCTTTGAAATTATATATGCAGGATATATCGCAATGTATGCTACTCTGGCTAGCCGAGATGTGGACTGCTGTTTGATTCCAGAATCTCCCTTCTATCTTAAAGGAAAAGGTGGACTTTTTGAATACACAGAGAAAAAGCTCAAAGAAAATGGCCACATGGTTATTGTGATAGCTGAAGGAGCAGGACAGGAACTTCTAGCAGCAGAATGCCAGAATGCAAAAAATGAACAAGATGCTTCAGGGAACAAGCTACTTGAAGATGTTGGCTTCTGGCTTTCTGAGAGAATCAAGGTAAGGATTATCATTTAGATAGAGGTTTTCACAAGTTGATTGATACCCATATGGTGCTTGATTTTCATTAGTCTATTACTTAAGAGGCCCCCGTTGATAAGACTGGTGAGATGTCAGTAGAAACTGTCAAAAAAGCAAAGAATAGACAAAAACTAATATGTTATGTGGTAGTTGTTTTAGATCTTCCAATAAATCTAGCAATAATGAACTGAAAAGCGGCTAGCTGACCCCTGGAAAAGGCTTTGTTGTTTTTATTGTTGACTAAAGCAACAGCGTTAATATTGCTGGAATTTGTTCTTAGGGAAATTTCTTCTCGTTCAGATGACAGTTCAAAAACTTCTACTGAAAGCATCAGTATGTCCACAAAATTCTCTATTAAGTCGATTTTTATATTATACAGGGTCATTTTGCAAAGCTACAAAAAATGCCCATTACACTTAAATATATAGGTCAGTGGCATCACTCCCTATCTTGTATGCTTTTGCGAAAAAGGCTCCTAACAATTTTCTTCGGCAGATCCAACTTACATGATTCGTGCTATTCCAAGCAATGCATCTGATAATGTAAACTGCACACTCCTTGCTCAAAGTGCTGTTCATGGAGCAATGGCGGGGTATACAGGCTTCACTGTTGGGCTTGTCAATGGTCGGCATACATACATTCCTTTCAATGTAAGTATAATAAATAATTTCACACTTCTGATTTGACACTTCGGATAATTGAGTTATTTTTATAAGATGTTTAAAATCCAAATTAGGTGTGATACTATTTCCTGCACAATTAGAGTACTAGTGGTTTTGTCATGCTAAGTTCTAGGTTGCTTTAGAAAATTCCGATATTTTTCTCTGTTAAATTTTGGGTCTATCATGAGAATATGAGGATGTGTCCGGGAATTTTTATTTTTATTTTTTTTAGATAATTTTGGGTGGCAATGAGTTTTAACCTGAACTCTTGTGCCTGAGACACTGTCATTAGAATATGACAATCTTGTTGCATGTTGTGGAAATATATACTCCTAAACTAGTAAGTTCAATTGACCTCATTTTTTTCTTTTTGTATCAATTGAATGAACTGAAATATTTTCTGCTGTACGATAGGTAGTCCCCATAAGGAAGAAAAAGTACTGAAAAACCAATTTCTATTGCTAACCAATAGTAGGTCAGACCTCCATGTCTGGAAAAAAATATGTGCAGTTCGTAGTACCTGTAGTGCAGTTATGTGTTTTTACATAGAGGCAGATATACGGGTGTGCTTTTCACAAGTTACTTGGCATAAAGTGTGGGAACCGACTTAAAGGTATAATCCGAACCAAATAGCTTGTAACTTTATATAGATGTCTATCTGTTAAAATGGTCAAGTGAGTGACATAGTTGAGTCCTGTGCAGGGTTTATGGAATAACCATAGTATTATTTTTTTCCCAAATAGCACCTAACCATGATCAGTAGTTGTGATATATCAAATGTTGCAGTAAATTAGATTGATTTCCACATTCTTCTTGTAATAAAATGTTGATCTTTTATGATGCAGTCGGTGTTTCCTCTTTTTCCCTCCCAACCATTTTAGCTGGTGTGTTTTGTTAGAGAAAAATGTGCTACCAAGAATTTCCAGAATTTCATCCCATCTTATCAGCATCTAATTTTATACTCTCATTACAATCATCCGTAAGAACATCTTTTATGAAGAGCTATAGAGGTAGTCGTCTAGGTCACTTGATATGGCCATTTCCAAGAGTTTCTATGCGAGTGTTCAAGCATGTGATGATAATCTGGACTTGTTATTTTTGCTTATATAATAATTTTTCTTTTTTGTTGCAGCGCATCAATGAACGGCGAAACAAGGTTGTCATAACCGACAGGATGTGGGCAAGGCTTCTGTCTTCTACCAGTCAACCGAGTTTCTTGGGACCTAAAGATGCCGAAAAGGCCGAAACTGAGCAAGTGCCTCTAACTCCAATGGTGGATGATGGGGAGAATCATGAAGGTGAGAAAACGGGAAACTAAATCCACCAGATTTAAATCCAGAATGTTCCGTTTGTATCTCTATGAAACAAGTATTGTCTGTGATTCTGTATCATCTTTGGATAATGATGCAAATGATTCTGTATTATCATCTTTGGATAATAATGCAATGCGATTTCTATTGGGTTGTGCATAGGACAAAAAATGAACCTAATTTTGATTTTGGTATTGATAAATACGTCCTTTTTTATGAAAATAAATACATCCTCATAAAAAGTCAATTAATTAATTAACTTTGTATAATTACTCATTAATGGTTAAGCAGTTATTGTCTCTCTAACCCGTCATCCTTCATATTCCCACAAAAATATGCACACATCTTCTGTGCAAGAGCTGCAAGTTTGCACCATAACAAATAAGTTCTTGAAAGGTCCATTTTTAATTGTTTAAGTTGCAAATAGTTATTTTAAATGAAAAAAATTTAAAAATTTCGCAATTGAAAACGCTGCACCAGGAGGCCCTAAGAGACTGGAATTAGAGGACCTTGTGTAATAGAGAAAATTACCTGAAATTATTTTTTAATTTTAATTTCATTAATCAGCCATTAACTTTCCCTTTTTTTTTTTTTTCAAAAATCAATTCATCACACGAACGTAACTAATATGTCACATATAGATTAAGTCCCCGTTTGCCTCCCACTAAAATCATAATTCATTTTTGAGTAATGCTATTCATCCCCACTGGGGATGAAAACACAGTCTAGGTGGCGCTAATGTGGCATTAAATGATAGGTAAAATTAAATAAGTCATTTAATTTCACATTTCATTTCACCTATCATTTACAGTCACATAGACTGTGTTTTCATCCCCACTGAGGATAAATAACATTACTCTTCATTAGTAATGCTATTCATCCCCACTGGAGATGAAAATACAGTTTAGGTGGCGCTATCATTTACAGCCACATAGACTGTGTTTTCATCCCCACTGGGGATAAATAACATTACTCTTCATTTTTTTCTTTTTTTATCAACCACGCATTTTTTTTCTTTTTTACCCACACATTTTTCTAAAAAAAAAAAACTATTTCAACCATTAAAATTTTAAGTAACAACCACGCATTATTAAGCCCTTATTAAAATCTGGATTTTAATTTAAATCAAAGTCAAGAATTAAATTTCAATCATATATTTCATGGGGTCCACAACTTTTTAACTACACATTTCATCAATTTTTATCGTAATATACGAAAAATCTAATTTTAATCATTACTAAATAGAGGTTAAGTGGCAATTACACAATTTATATGTCACGATAATTTATCAAAACAGATCACAATCTTTTGAAAGTTCTTACAAGTTTGTTAATTTTGAAATTGTATTCTTAAACTTTTGTAGTTATGAAATTTTTTATTTGTAATATTAATGTATTCTTTCATCACATATAACGGGATTGATAGTGGTGCAATTTGATCCATTATCAGAGAGCAACTTATGTGGATTGGATTCGCAGAATACAAAATGAACATAATGCAATAAAAGAATGTCTCCTTCAAATTATAACAAGGCTTACATCCACTACTCAGAACCCCAACAGGTTTCAGCAGTTGTGCGACACAACTCCTCACAAATCCTGACCGGGCACATCATATCAGATATATTTGACACAACAAGGGTCATTTTACATCAAATTACCAGATTATCGGAATGCTGAAAATATTCCGCTGGCATTAGGATGTGATTAATAATCAAACCCTGTAAGTACCCGAAGGATCTGCATTTTGTATGACCCAAGGATGCTCGAGAAGTTTGTGGAGTGGCAAGCGTCGCGAAGAATCCTTGACGAGCATCTGTCATCAAAATATCCAAATGACAAGAATAACACACAAGTTAAAACTCGAATTCAATTGAAATAATATGAACCCAATAAAAGTTATCTACCTGACTAATAAGGTCTTTTGCAGCTGATGAGACTATGGGTTTTGGAGGGAATTTAAGATCCACCTGAACAATCCTGTGCAAATAATTGGAAAACAACAAATATAACTAATTCAGCCAGCAAGCTATATGGAATTTCAAATCTTAAAAGTCACAGTTGTGGACTAATTTATTCCCTAGAGAATAGAACCGTGGCGATTCACTTTAAAGCCCAATGGAACCACAAAGTCTGCATCCCTCAATGGTGGTATCAGAACAGCCATCCACTCTTGTTGTAAACTGGACAACCTAGGAAGGGCTATACTTTCAAGTTCAACACAAGATTGGAGGACGTCAGGTTTATGAGGAAGGTAGATTGCAACGAGTGCACTCACATTTGCTAAGTTAAGATTTGATTTGTAGGCATCAAGTGTTAAATGAATATGAAAACCGATTTTAGGCTTATAGCAACCAAATGGGCACCTTCTCTTTAGTCTACAAGCAAGGTTTAAAGGTGAGATTTTATTCCACGCTGACATAACACCAAAGGATAAAAATTAATATTCTATCCACCATCATCACATCTGGGGGCGATTCGAAAAATTGCAGAACATGTTATTCTGTTGATATTATCAGCGATAACCTGTTGCCTTCTTTATTATGTTATCATTAAAGAAAGAATGAAAAAACAGATTACCTCCTATACGTGTCTGAGTGCTCTTTTGCTTCAAAAGGAGGCTCCCCGTAGAGAAACTCATAGCACAGGACTCCAAGGCTCCATATATCCACATTTGCATCATGCTCCACACTCTCCACTGTAAATTTAACACCAAACTGTTGATCAGTGCATGTTGGAAATGTAATAATGGAGAAATGTGGTTATTCATAAAAAAAAAATTTTAAAAATAAAAAATATATATATATTCTGTAAGGACATGGGGTCCTGAAAAACAATGGGGTTCATATGGTGTGCAACAATATTGTATCTTCCCCTCCCAAGATAAGATCGTATATGACTGAGGACCCTACTCTTTGAACAGGCATGCTTCATCTGGGAGAGGATGATGAAAAGTAAGGAAAAAGACAAAAACTATGAAATATGAAGAAGACGAATCCTTTTCAAAATGAAAAAATGAGTAGAATCCACCAATCTGAGTGTAATCCTCCTAAGTATGAATCACTACATCCTAGAAAAATTATGTCAGCAGTAAAGCATACCCATTTCAGGTGGAAGATAATCTAGGGTGCCACACATGGTGCGTCTTCGGTTAAATGTATGCACTGACCAACCAAAATCTGCAATCTTTAGTTCGCCCTGGCAATTGGAAACATTATTAATTTAGTATAATGAGAAAAAAAAATTGCTGATTTTTTTCTAATAAACAAACAGAAAAAGCCAACTTGCAAATGATTTTATTTACCTCAGCTCCAACCAAAAGGTTTTCGGGTTTAATATCTCTATGTATCACATGCTTTCCGTGACAATATATCAAGGCCCGAGCTAATGATGCAACATACTGTTACATGCCCACAAATACACAAATGGTTACTTTGTAGTCAAATTTCCACTAGCTAAAAAGTAAAATATTTTAAGTAGATAACCAAAAACATCTGAACATAAAGAACTTGAGATACATAAATGAGTTCTAATTATAAAAAGTTGGACTGGAGATCAGAAACATATTTGCACTGTAACAAGTTGGTTTCCAACTTAGTCTCAATAAAAAATAAAAAAATAGAAGAGAAAGAAACAACAAAGACGGAAAACACCACTGCATCCTCCCCGGGTCTGTGATCGGCAGTTTGGGATGCAGCAAGAATTGGTGGTCAGGCAACAGGTTTTTCTTTTTTATTTAATTATTTTTGTATTTTAAAGAAAATGTCCAATGAGATTCAATTTCCTACAAACTCGAAAGTGGGGAAACCAACATGCTGTATTGCAAATAGGAGATTGAGGAATCTCCAGTGCTTTTGTTTTCCCTTAATATTGGAAAATGTATTCTTGGAAACCTCCCAGAAGAGAGAGAGAGAGAGAGAGAGAGAACTGGAAACAGTGCTAATAGAGTACTCACAGTTGCAGCACGTCTTTCACTGAAGTGTTTGCATTTCTGTAGCTCCTTGTAGAGTTCCCCCTTTGCGGCATACTCCAGGATCAAATACACCCGTTTCTGCATTTAATTTTGTTACAGATAGGTCTATATAAAGTTCGCCTTCAACCATAAACCAAACAAGATGGACCATACCTGATCATAAAAGTAACCATAGAGTCGTAGAATGTTAGGATGCCGAAGATGGCTCTGTATTTCAACTTCCCGGCGAAGCTGGTGCTCGACCTGAGACTGTTTCAACTGGCTCTTAAACAACACCTTCAGCGCCACAATATGATTGCTCTAATTGAAGGAAAGAGGCAGATTTTAGATTCCCATGGTTAGGAACTAATGATTAGCACTTTCTACAGAGATTTGGATTGATTCTTAATGTAATGTCGACTTTGCTAGAACAGGTAATAATGAGATTACTTTATTAATAAACAATACGGAAATATGCCACACTGCAGAAAATACTTCAAATAATCATTTTACAAAATTAAAGTTTCAAGCTACGTCAAGGAAGATTTTGGTCTTTCTTCTGGTGTAATCCCATGTAGTTAGTCTCGCTTTTAGATCTCTTCCCACGCCTGTTTGTTTCCCCAGCCTAGGAGAGATGCAGAACTCATTTTTTTAATCACTAGACTAGACAGAGGCATAATACAATCAGGAATATTGTAAAGGTAAATAGAATCTTTTCGTAAAGATTTGTGCGTTTGGCAATTTCTAGAATATGACTTCTCTCTCTGGGAGTTGAAATCTAAAACTTGATTGCTTAATACTGGAAAATATAGATTTTTTTTTTGCAACAGATTAAGTGCGTGAAACCATTCTTTAAAGTAGTTTGGGTATTGTACTTAAAATCAAGTAACTTAATAACTATCAAATTCCATGGATGAGAAAGTTATAGATGCATAAAATAAATGAATTCCTATGAAGAGAACTTACCCTCTTTTCCCTTGCCAGATATACATGTCCAAACTTTCCTCTACCAAGAGGCTTTCCTATGTCAAAATCATTGAGTGTCCATCTCTTTTTTTCTGCTGCCACACTCTCCGAAGAAGCCTGCAATAGTATTGTATCATTATCGCACACATAAAACATGATTTTATGCCTTGTTTTCCTTCACAGAAAATCTTTTTCTTTTCTGCAAGGGGTATTTATGTCTTTACTAAATTCTAGTTGTAGCGCACAATTTCCTCAAGAAATACCTCAAATTTATGGTAAATACAACACAGATAATTCAGGATTCACAAAGTAAAAATTTGGTAAAATAAGAGACTCTTAAAAAGAGTGTCTCGTTTCACCAAAAATTACTTTTATAACTTGCTTTTTCAGCATCACGGAATTGCATGAAATATGAGTCCGTATCACAGAAGGCAATACTAAAACTAAATCGGGAAACCTTCTTATGCAAATCCTAACCCCACACCTTAATTTACAAAACCATATAATCTAGTAATTATTTTCCGATCCCCTTTTCCAAGATAATCTTCAGAAATCTTAAAAGAAAAACAATTCATTATTTTTTTAAACAATTTAATATTTCCTTCCAAATGCTTACCTATTTAAATCAAAATGTAATGCAATGGCTGCAACAATAATCCCAAAATCAAAGAAACCCAAATATTAAATAATGTCGGAAAAAACCTTTTTTTTCCATTTTTCAAATCACAATTATCGAACGGACTCAAAAATGGAAAATACTCAGAATTAAAAACGTCATATCTATCAGACGGAAAAATAGAAGCAATAAATCTTCATTTCTCTGAATCAAACATATTCAAATTACGCTAAATTCATAAAATAATTCCAAAAAATCAAGTTTTTCCATACCGTCTGCTCTTGTTGAGACTCCGCTGCAATCGCCATTAGAAAAAAAAATACTCACGCACTCGGATTTAGAGAGAGAATGGTGAGTGTGTAAATGTATCGATTCGATTTGAATTGGTAATAGAGAGAGAAAAGGGGTTTCGGGACTTTATTGCAGTTTTTGCAACGGTCATATTTGAACGCCACTTGCCACGTGGTGCTGTACCACAATTTCGCTTTTCTAATTTATGTTTATAGAATTCAGGTTATAACCTTAGTTTATGCATTGTGACGTACGAAAATGTTCTCCTGCCCGCGACGGGCAAGTTTATTCTGCCCGCCTGCTGATGTGGCAGGAGAACCCTACGTGGGGTTCTCTCCAAATGTGAGAACCCCACGTTGGGTTCTCTCCGAGTGGGCATTATAAGCTTGCCCGCCGCGGGCAGGAGAACGGAACTGTTGTTACGTAAATGTGAAATTAAGTTATTTATTTAATTGTATTTATTTATCATTTAACGCTATGTTAGCGCCACGTAGATTGAAGTCATAAATTCAGTGAAAATAAATATATTACTCACCCTTACATCCAAAAACTCGATAAAATTTCACTCTTCTTATTTATTGAGTTGGAACTTATTCCTTATTTCTTTTTAAATAATAAGTGACAAAATAATATGACCCAATATTGAATAAACATTTTTTTGAAAAATATTATCGTCGAGAACGGAATTTGAAAATTTCAAATGATTTACGGGGTTGATCATTAAGTAATGAATTAAGCTATATTTACAGAAAAATGGTTCACATGGCTATTACAAGGCCCTCACAATAGGCGGGCCCCACATGTTTTTAAAAAATTAAAATAAATTAAGTTAAATTGAATAACTAATATTTAAAATACAATCTTAAAATTAATTAAGTAGAATTCATCAAGGGCCTGTTCGAGCTCTTTTTTGTCCAAAATACAGTTTAGAATTGTATTTCGTTGGAGAATATTTGGTTAAAAAAATAAAGAATTTTTTTAAATTTGCGTGTCTTATTATTTTATTTAAAAATGTAAAGCTAGAAATAAGAGAGATAAAAATATATTTTAAAAATAATAGATATCGGGATATTAGTAAATCTTAAATTTAAGTATATATATTACTCGTTAAATGTAAACATATTAGTCAAGCTCATCAATCACAAGTCTAAACTTTGTTCAGTCTAACCTATAAATTTATATTTTACTTATTTTATTTTGGCCTTCATTTTATTTTGGCCTTCAGTCTCATTTTGAGAAAAAAAAATATATTTTGAAAAAATTTTGATTTACGTGTAAAATTATTTATTAGAGATCGTGTTGATACAAATCAGTTCTGAAAAAAAATTTGAAAAAAAGAGAAATCAAACAAGAACATATATTTTCAATTATAGCCCGATTAAAATCTAAATTATTTATATCAAAATCAACAATTAATTTTAACACATTATGAATCCACAACTTTTCAATCAAATCGATTTTTATTAAAATTTACTAAAAATCTGATTTTAATCGTCATCAAATCAAACGGGCCGACATGAAAATGCCCAAGAATTTCATTGCAGACCAATTTATTACAACAAACACAAATCAAAACACATGCATGCATGCAACTACTGAAATTCAAGAAATTACTTAAACAAAGATCAAGTCCCCAGATGGCATCAATAGAACCTTAATCCCAAATTCAAGATCCTTGAACACCAGTTTCTTGCTGAACCTGATTTTCAGACTGTTTTGCTCTCTCCTTCACGTCTCTAGCCTTATTTGCAATTCTCATTCTAGCATAATCCAGCTGATCCGACCCGGGTGGGTGTTTTCCGGCAACATAATTATATATCCAAGATAATGCCGCCAGTGCCACCACCCCACAGCCACCGGCAAACAAGAATCCAGCAGTGACCAAGAATAGAACAATCCCGGCTGGGATAAGAATCGGACTGACCAGGACCAGAACCGGGGTGGCGATAATCAGGGCGATCACTGTCCCGGTTAAGGCTAACCCGGATAAACCGAGCAAAACACCTCCGATTGTTGCCGCACTTAACTTTGTTCAGTCTAACCTATAAATTTATATTTTACTTATTTTATTTTGGCCTTGAGTCTCATTTTGAGAAAAAAAAATATTTTAAAATAATAATTTTTTAAAAAATATGTAATTAAAAAATAAGAAAAAATTTTGATTTACGTGTAAAATTATTTATAAATTATTTATTAGAGATCGTGTTGATACAAATCAGTTCTGAAAAAATAAATTTTTGAAAAAAAGAGAAATCAAACAAGCACATATGTTTTCAATTATAGCCTGATTAAAATCTAAATTATTTATATCAAAATCAACAATTAATTTTAATCTCGTGCATTATGAATCCACAACTTTCAATCAAATCGATTTTTATCAAAATTTACTAAAAATCTGATTTTAATCGTTATCAAACCAAACGGGCGGACATGAAAATGCCCAAGAATTTCATTGCAGACCAATTTATTACAACAAACACAAATCAAAACACATGCATGCATGCAACTACTGAAATTCAAGAAATTACTTAAACTAAGATCAAGTCCCCAAATGGCATCAATAGAACCTTAATCCCAAATTCAAGATCCTTGAACACCAGTTTCTTGCTGAACCTGATTTTCAGACTCTTTAGCTCTCTCCTTCACGTCTCTAGCCTTATTTGCAATTCTCATTCTAGCATAATCCAGCTGATCCGACCCGGGTGGGTGTTTTCCGGCGACATAATTATATATCCACGATAATGCCGCCAGTGCCACCACTCCACAGCCACCGGCAAACAAGAATCCAACAGTGACCAAGAATAGAACAATCCCGGCTGGGATAAGAATCGGACTGACCAGGACCAGAACCGGGGTGGCGATAATCAGGGCGATCACTGTTCCGGTTAAGGCTAACCCGGATAAACCGAGCAAGACACCTCCGATTGTTGCCGCACTTAAGAATCTCATGGCTTGGCCTGAACTGGGGGCCGAATCTTGGAGCCTTTGGGACATGGGTTTTTGTTGATCAGACATGATGGTTGGCTAGGATTCAAAGGTGGAGTATGGAATGATTTGAGAAAAAGACGCAAGACCCCTCGAATGTATATATGCAGGATGAAGTGAGAGTGGAGTAGGATGGGGTAGGGTAGGACTAGTGGAGGAATGGGTGACATTGGGAAACGTGAAGGGTGAGGGGATCAAGAATGGTGGGTCGTGTTTGGAGCGGTGGCGTGGTTCTTGTGGGAGGGAGTCAGAGGATTAGCCGTGTGGCAGAGGGATGGATACAGTAACGGCTTAAAATTCGAGTTTGAACTTTCACGTGACAAGATGATACAAAATTCAAAATTGGGTTAATTGGCACCGAGGTTTATCAGAAGATAATTGGACTTTCAACCCAGTTGTAACCGAGTTATTGAAAATATCAAGTCATTTTATTTTAATTTGGAGCAATCAAGTCAGTCTCACTTGGGTTCCATTAATGTATCTATTAAGATTAGCTTAAATGTCCATCAAAACAAATGAAATACCGACACGTCAATTCCAGATTGATAATACAGGAAGTCGCTGAACTTTCATCCTAGTTTCATTCGTGATACTGAAATTCAACTTGGAACGATCAAGTTATAAATCCTACAATCACACCTTGAGTTACAATAAATTTTCTTACATCACTGCCCTATGAACTTATTTTTACCATCTTTTAATGTATACTAGTAAAAAACAATGGAATTCCAAACTCAAATTCAATCAATAGTAAAATAACTCAATTGGAACGGAAAAAACAAAAAAGGTAGTTGATCCAATATGAAAGAGAAATTCAACACTCTATCAAACCGAAATATAAATCGAGCAAAACATGGAACCTGACATAGTTTCTTTAGAAAATCAAAACCCACAAAAAATATGATGCAATAAATGAGATTTGTAAAGAGATTTGATAAATCTATTAGACACGAATGACACATGCAAAAGACCTTGATACATGGGGGCCAAACATCGGATCACAAAAACATATAATATTCTTAACTTAGTTTTGCTCTATATTATCCTCCTTCCATCTTCTATAGCAAATATGGCATGGAGGATATGTCATGTAGAAGTCACATAGCTCTTAAAATTTCTTATATAGACCCGAACTTGCTATGAGACCCTTCATTTGTGAGGTGAGTTCATTCATTCATAAGCTATTATTGTCGACAACAATGATTAAACATTTCATACCCTATTTTTTGTGCCCCAAGACAATCGATGTGTTTGTTTCGCATGGTTTGATCCACCAATTTGTGGTCAGCAAAACAAGTAATTCCAGGATTGCTGAATTCAAAGCGAAATGTAAAGGGAAGATAAACAAATTAGAAGCTTATGTAAAGACACTTGAAGAAGATATTAACAAGCTACAATTAGAGATGTAAGGCCTACAGTCAAAGATCCAAGTAGAGAGCAAAGTATTGTTAGCAAGAATTGAGAGTGTACAAAATGACGACTCAGGCATGACCAACTCAGTGTGACAGGTGGTGTTTACAAGGCTTGGGAACGAATTTACCACTATATGTCTGATCGAGGATTTCAACTTCATGCAGAACGAATTTACCACTATATGTCTGATCGAGGATTTCAACTTCATGCAGACAAGTTGCAACCTGTAATCTAAAATCCAAAAATGAAAAACATGAGTGGAGTTGTGTTTGGATTTGGTCATTTGTACATATGTTGTTCCTTGTGTGGATAATCTGTTTGATTTGATTTTCTTTAGAACCGAACCGAATGGACCATGTCCAACCTTAATTGGAACATGTTTAAGTGTATTTAGGAGGATGTTTATATTTCAAAAATGCCCTGGATTAGTGTTCAAGTAAATAGATCATTATAATTAGAAAAACTATTTTTAACAAGCGCGATTATATTGTCATGACAATTTATTTCATCGTGCAAATGATAAGGGTTAATTGTATTAAAGGTCGCCGACCTCATCTTATTGTTGCACTTATATTCCTAAAAACATCTTTTTCGTGTTTAGGAATATTCTGTCATTTCAAAACATACTATAGTGTGTTTGGTAGGGATTTTCGGGGGAAGAATTGATTTTCGAATAGTGATATGATGAGAAATGTGTGGTTGAAAAAGAAGAAAAAAAGTATTGATGTGATGGAAACTATTATTTTATTGAAGAATGTGTGGTTGAAAATGAGAATTGATTTACTGTAGAAAATGAAAATCTGTACCAAACAGGCCCTTAGTTTCATTCAACTTGTAAAATCTGAGGAAAACCACGTTTTGACAAAAATAGCACTAAGATTCCAGAATATTGAATTCTGTCACCTGTTTTTATATACTGAAAATTACCATCAAAACTATTGACAAAATTAGCACTGCCCAAGAATAATTTCAAAAATAGCATCTGTATATGATTTTGTCCGAAAATTGCTAAAAAATATGGAAAATTCCAACCTCAAATCCTTAGTTTAAGTATTTAGCATCATATATTCAAAAGAAAATCAAAGAATATGTCTTTATTTCACAAACCCATTTCAAAGTTCCACTTCCTTAAACCTCAATCTTCAATTAAACATTTCTTTG